CAAATTTTGTTGTTCACATTGCAGAAGTGCGAATACCCCTTGAACCTCTTAACGATGCTATCTTTATGAATTGAAACAAAAGGTTCCAGAATAGCAAGGATGCCCGATTTATGCATCCTACATAAATGTTTTAAACGATTAAAGGAGTGAGGGTCCGCCACTCCTCTAATGTTCCACACCAAACATTAAACATGGTCCATGACACCCTCCCCTCTAATAATCCTAGAGGGTAGGTGACAGTGCTCACCTTCTGAGTGATAAGTGACATCAGTAGTATTTGATTGTGGTAATTTCGGTATTTCAGATTTTCTTCTTCCACGTTTTCTACTGTATCTCTGAATTTGCCATTCGGATTCAAGGACAAAGACAACAATTGCTGTAGGATCCTGCTGTGAAGAGATAGTGTGAGTGGAGGGATCAGGAGCATCAGGGAGGTGATTGGAAGGCTCAGTTTGAAGGACAGTGAAAACAGGGGGTTCAACCAAATCATTAACTGTAACATCCACGAGTAAAGACTCTAGAGTCACCTCAGCATCCCTCATATCAGGCGTAGTTATTCTATTAATTTTTAAAGAAGGAACAGTCGAATCATTTAAACCGCCAACAGCCACAACATCCACCGCTATAGCCTCAGCAGGGGGGTCAACCGAATCAACAGTTTGTATAGGTGGTTGTAAGAGTTTAGGGAGAGCAAATTTGTGTTCTCCAGGGGACGGTCTATGGGTAGGAAATTTTCTTAATTTAGGATGTAAATGGAAACAATGTTCAGAGTCATAACCAAACATGCTACAGTGCCTACAGTAATAAGGATGTTTTTCAAGCAAAACCGACTGCCAGTAGCCCGTATGAGTAGAGCCTATCCAAATGTCCTCCGGTGGAAGTAAGGTGATATCTCTCTCGATCAAAATTCTAGCAACCGAGAGTCTAGTGAGATTGTAGGTGTGAGCATCTAGCATTAGAGGTTTCTCATACATGGCAGCGATCGAAAATAAAATTTCGTGATTAAACAGATGCGCCTTCAGACCCGGGAGTTTAAGCCAGACAGGGATAACAGGGAGCTCTGTTTTGGGGTCAAAGTCAGGTGTCCATTTAAGGACCTTCATCCAAACATCACCAAAATGAACAGTTCTACGAGCGAATAGTTTTGCATAATCGTCTTCATTGGAAAGTTATATCAAAATATGTCGGCTATCCAAAGACCTGATCTTCCAACCTCCCGAAAATTTTAACAGCTCAAAATTCTTCAACAGAAAATTATATTTCGGCAAACCATAGAGGAATTTGCCAATCAAATGGAAACGACAAGCAGTGGCGAGAATAGAGTTCTCAGAATCAGAGAGGAAAAGCGCGTTTTTACCCCCCTTACGACCTTGAGGTTTAATGAAGCTACTATCACCCCAATAATGAGAGAATCATGGTAAGAGGAAGGGAAAGCAAACTTTGGGGGCGACCCAGAAGACGAAATCCCTACAGTGACAATTAGAGAGTAAAAGCGCGTTTTTACCCCCCTTACAACCTTGAGGTTTAATGAAGCTACTATCACCCCCAATAATGAGCGAATCATGGTAAGAAGAAGGGAAGGAAAACTTTGGGGGAGACCCAGAAGACGAAATCCCCACAGTGACCCCAACGTAAGTTTTATCCATGACCGTAGCGACAGGAAGAAGACGAGAGAAGAAAACCGAGAGCGAGAGGAAAGCCTAAAACGAAAAACCAGAAAGATCTCACCAGGGGGTTGTCGTCGTTTAGCCGCAACATCCTCGCGTCGCCACGAAATCGCCCCCGGTGCCAAACCCTAGCAGAACGGCCGCGGTCATCTCAATTTTATTATATATATATTGCATATTTTAAATGTCCATATTTAAATAAATAAAAAAAGAATTTACATAGATACCAATCAATTATCACTTATTTACATATCTACAACGTAAAGTTTGATAATTCAGTGTTATAATCACAACAAAATTTATACAAGAAAAAGGTATACTTTACTTTAACAAAGTTAGTATTAGTATTATTCTTAATATGATGTTAAGATTTGAGTGTTATATATTTAAACATTATAGTTTAGGTGTCAAACGTGTAAATTCATAAGCATTCTGGCATGTCTATAACACCCTGTGGAGAAAAAACAAATCAAGGAATAATCACATACCACTAATTCTTATACATACCAAGGAATAATTACATACCACTAATTCTTATGTATTTACATATCTAACACCTAGACTTCAATAAAAAAAAAAGAAGCAAAGTTTAGGTTTGTTAGAAATGTAAATATCTAGAAAATAGGCGGTATGTAAGTAAAAGCACCAGTAAGTAAAAGCACCAATAAAAGCACCAATAATCAAATAATGTGCTCATGAATTGGGTGGAATAGGCTGGATTTGTGTACAGGGAATATCATAGGTCACCAGGATATTATGACGGGCGGTACTGGACGATGTGGAAGCTGCCGATGTTTGGATGCACCGATGCAACACAAGTGGTGAAAGAGCTGGAAGAGTTGAAAAAAGCATATCCGGATGCCTTCGCTCGAATTATTGGGTTCGATAATGTTCGTCAAGTGCAATGCATCAGTTTCATAGCCTATAAGCCTCCAAGCAAAGAATATAATCCTTGAGATTATTGTTCTACTTTGATACTTGTCCATGGTGTTCTCCAAATTTTTTAGGGTTTAAGACCCTTTTTTTATGTTGGTTTTCTATGTTGCTTTTGTGTATCTCTGTTTTGGAACTAAGAATCAGTTGAGTCATATTCTGTGTTGTTGAATGTCATTGCATTGTTCTTAGAACTGGCCAAATTTATAAGAAATAAGTGCTAGTTTTTATTGGATGACAAATATAGCATGAAATATTGCATAAGAAAAGCTCAACAACTCTTAGAGTTCACAATAAAGTGGTTCAACCAATGTTGTTGCAACTTCATTAATTCATTGTTTTGCTGGCATTGCCAACTAGTTGACATTGATTATATAAAATGCAACATTAACATCAACAATATATATCAACAGAGCTTAAATAATGATATCTTTTAATGCAAATGTTAAAAGTAAAGTCTAGGTGTTAGGTATGTAAATACGTAGGAATTGGGTGGTTTCAGGTAAATAACCTGAAAAAGGGGCATTTATATACATATCACACAATTCTTATGCATGCACATATCTAACATCTAAAGAGTCATATTTACATGCATATCACTCAAATCTTTAACATCACATTTTAAAAAAAAAACATAATCATTATTATTTTAAAAGTGAACCGCACACTCTCATACATAAGTTTATGACACCAAGCATAAATAACAAACTTTTGGTGTTAGAAATGAAAATGCACAAGGATTGTGCGGTATGTATAGTTTCACAAAGTTTCACATATTCTAAATAAACTTCGACAGCATCAAGATATAATTATGATATTTACAACCATAGAAGCTAAATGATTGGAGATAAAGAACCAGAGGCCACCAATAGCCAACAAAGTTGAGGATAAGTTTGAACGAAGAGCCCTTGTGGGTGGTGGTCAGCCCAAGCAGCTCAATACTTAAATACTGATGTTCGGCCATACTCCTAGTTGATGTGGGACTATTTGTCTGTGACATTCTCCTCCACCTAATCACGTGACGCCCTCGTCATGGCCGCGAATCGACTCCACCGAGGGTCTCACTGGACCATGGAGAGTCCACACACCTGTTAGGCAGTAATCTGCTCTGATACCACTTGTCACCTCCCAAAAGAGCGCAATTGAAAGGTTTTTAGATGATAAGGTCAGCTTTTATTTGTGTTGGTGGAAGGGTGTAAAATCATCACCTAAGGAAATTTAAGCAGTGATTTCGACGTGAAAACAATTTCACATTCGTTCATGCCCCTACGCACGCGCACGCTCGCAGCAGCATGCAATCACACATATTCCCGCAACCGCACATGCACGCCAACCCCCACGTATGCACCCGTGTTTGCTAAGATATCATCACCATTGTTTCTACCTTTGACAAAAATCACTCTAATTTGAAAAAATAGTACTGGGCAACACATTATCAAGTGTGCTAAGAATTTGTCCTTCAAATAATTAGGATTGGTCATAATTAAAATTAGGAGAGAAAAATAAATAAATAAACACAGTTGCCTATTCAACAGACGATTGTTTGCTAAGAGAACGCACCACTCGCCTGTTTAAACAGGTGCCTAAACTATTAATTTTAATTTTTATTATTTAAAAAAAATGACATTTTAGAATTGATCTAAATTTAAATATTACATTTTAAAATTTTACAAAAAGTTTACTAATATTTTTTTAAAAATAGTTTTAAAATAAATAAATATTTCCAATTGATATTTAAAGTTTTTTATAAATTCTATCATAAAAAGAATAAAAGCATGGCTACTTTAAAATTTAAGAAAATTTAATATTTAATAATTTTAATAAATAATTTAAAAGTTGTAATTTTTCTAATTAGATAAAAAATTAGTAATATTTTTGTGAAAATGAACATAAAATAACAAAAAATTGTTGCATAACACCTATAGATTTGTACAAATTGTCTTGCAAAAAACATGATTGAAATAATTAAATATTTATAAAATTATGTATGATAAAAATATACGCCCATTTTCTTTAAATAATATAAACTTATATGTTATTTATCTTTGATTTAGCGCACCAGCTTTATTTTATATTTTTAGAAATCAAAAATTAACTTGTTTAACATACATGATTGATTTATTATAAAAATATAATTATTCATTGAATCCAACAAAATTAAATTTAACATATTTTGAGTAAAAAAATTGCACCTCTAATTCTAATAACCTCAAATAAAGATATCATAATTATAAATTTGATGAACATAAGAATAAACAAGAATACATGAAATAATCTAACGTCTACAATAAGATCAACATCCTATTACATTACTCTCAGTAGCATAATGATTAGGAATATATAATGGGCCATCATTTATATGATTCTGGTCATGAACATGTCAGTGTGCTAGTTTTGACTTGTTTACTGCATATGGCCCTCTGACACATTCTAAGATGGAATAGGTGTTGATCCCCAAATTTAGCATATATCAAATGATTTCATTTCAGTAATCATATAAAATGATATCTAAAACAGTACAACAACAACAAC